GGGATGGTGCATGGTTTCAGCAGGAGTGACCGTCACTACTCCTGACCCCCATTGAAGAAGAGGCGGGTGTGGCTGGGGTTTGTAAAATGGATGCTTCTGTCGCCATCATGTCGTTCAGTTTCTTCAGCTCATTACTGTCAGGAGACATTTTGTTTTTCTGTGAATAAAAATACAACTTATATCAAATTCACGTTGGCAACAAGCTAGTTGAGTGAATGAGGACATGAAACACCATGAATGAACTTTACGTATTCTATCTATAAGGAGTCGAACCTGAACTTTCTCCATGGTAGACTTTACCCACTCAGTGATTAAAGCGTTGGCTCGTCACGCCGAAGACGCGGGTTCGATTCACATGGGTTCAACGTGTGAGCCCATTTCTGGTGTCCCACTCCGTGATATTGCTGGAATATTGCTAAAAGCGGCGTAAAAGCATACTCACTCACCACCCACACAACGTACCAACTGCTCTTTATCCACATAACTGCTTAATACACAGCGAGTAAGTGTGGTTTAATTTCTCTGCAATACGAGAAACACCGTAAAAGGACATTTTGACCATATTGGGAATTGAACAAGGGTTTCAGTGTGACGGCCTTTTACCACTTGCCTATCTCAACACCCTTTCACATAACTACTACGTTTACAACCCGAGGTCAGTCACGCTCACATGGAGACATATCCGCATCAGCCCCGTGCCCGTGTGTTTGTTGTCCAGGGAGTAGATCTTCTTCTCCAGACTCAGCGTTGTCTGGTACTGCACTGCTTTGGTGAGCTCCATCACGCCGACGTCGGTAATCCGGTTTCCTGGAATAATAATGGCTATTTGTACAGGGCCCCTACACGTGCATGCTCAAAGCGCTGACGCATTATTACCCTGATTAACCCAAACAACCCAAGCGTTAAATGGTTAACAGTCATATGACTTATCCCACCGGGTACCCATTCACTGCTGGGTTGACAGAGGTAATTTTGAACAGACTCACTAGCCTAAGGTGTGGACATGTATCACGTGTTCTTCGTTGTGGGGCAAGCTTGAAGTCCTAGAAACTCTCAGGAGTCAAGCTGCCAAACACGGTAACCCATATAAGGACTCTCTGTGACCAACGTTGCTTAATTTCAATTGACTTTTGACCTGGGCTCTATGCACAAGATCACACACCACCACTAACACATAAAACATATAACAGAATCAGCATCAACTACTACCATATGTAGGTCCAGTGGATATCTGCTAACAGGTGTCCTAGTCCATTAGAGCAGCTTTTGATCAGTTTCAGTCCATAAACCACCAAAAAACATAAGAAACATTGTTACCTGTAAATCGAAGCGTGTTTTGTCGAAAATGCTTGGTGGCATGACTCTGCATAGTGCGTATGAATAATGATTTACGCCCTCCCAGACAATGATTAAAACTGCATAATTCTTGGTAAGCGATGTTGCACGGGCAACGAAACACGCCATCAGAGTTCACTGACACGCAGGCAGCCGAGTCGACGGACCGGCCCGTTGCCCAATGTCCAACTCGGGATCTGACCATTTGTCTCTAAATATTCAGGCCCATAGTTTTAATGGAATCCAGAATGGATAAAGGTACACTAAATGCCAAAAGAAACGTTACCGTCCTACCTTTATGAATTACTGAAAAACTTTCCAAGATATATTGGAAGGCATTAGTTTACAAGAAAGCTGAACAACACAGCTTTATGCAAATCACGAAAAGGAATTCTCAAATGCATTCATATTTAGGTGAAATGCATCTTTTTCAGAAGAATTAAATTGTCCAATATTCGTCCATGACGAAATAAACCAATAACAGTGATTTAAATGTCCGAAAGAAAAGTTGAAATAATATTCTGCTTTGAGACAAATATAAATAATTTAAAGTCACCATTTTTAAACTGCTAAACAAGAAATAACTGTTGTAGAGTGTGTAAAATTGTAAAATAATCATTCCTATGGATTTCAGTCTTTTAAAAACATTTTCTGCTGATTTGCATTAGTGAAAACAAGTAAAACGTGACTTTGATATTGTGAAAAGTGTTTAGGAACATCTAAGATTATCTTTGTTAACATTTTTGTTTGCAAAGTAACATTTTCCATTTTATGTTTACACAGAGTAATATCAGTCGCAAAACGTAGCAATATTCAAGACGTATTTACATCCATTTCACGTGTTGTATGATTCTATAGGGTATAAAGAGAGACTAGAATGCATGATATGATACACAAGTATGAGACATATGCCACGATTAACAGCTGAAGAGAGATGGGATCGGGATGGTGCATATGGGGTCTACATACAATGCTGTTGCCAACGACCACGGATGCCACTGTATCACGGTTATTAGACTTATTCAGGGCTACAGACAGACTGGGGGTCACCGAAGACAGACTGGGGTCACCGTAGATAGACCATGAAGTGGACGTCCACGCATCACAACGCCAGCTGAAGATAGGTAACTCCGTCATTAAGGAAGGAGGGTTACGTTTCTTTTGGCGTTTAGTGTATATAGATATTTGATATATAAACCCAGGCTTGGCATGAACAGGCCTTGGAGCCACAACAATGAAGATCTTACTGGCGAGATTGAGGTTGACAAGGATTCTGTTTCCGGCCAACAGCAAGTTCTGTAACTCTGAATATACTCCGCAGCCTCCATCAGTGGGTTGATGATCACCACGACTTCGGCAGTCTGTACAACATGGCCATAGGAAGGGCATTACTAGGGAAATTGTTAGTTCGGACAACTCGACACCGATATAAGTTGTTTTGTTTGTATGTTGTGTAACGCACGGTTATGGACCAGACAGTCCAGTGATCAACAGCATGATGGGATACGATGATACATGCCAACCAATCCATCTGCCTGACCACGTGCCTTTTACAACCAGCATGGTTTGCTGAAGACTAACTGTTACCGATGTATGCAGGTCACATTCAATTACGAAATACAGACTGACTGACTGACTGAGTTCAGTTTTACGCCGCTTTTAGCAATATTCCAGCAATATCACGGCGGGGGACACCAGAAATGGGCTTAACACATTGTACACATGTGGGGAATCGAACCCGGGTCTTCGGCGTGACGAGCCAACGCTTTAACCACTAGGCTATCCCACCGCCCCTCGAAATACAGAAACAATGCTAGGCAAAAGTGATATGATGTGATATATATGACACTGGTTCTGTTTCACCATATGGGTAAGAAATGATATTATGAAGGACATTATATAAATGGCTGGTATCTACGTAGGACACTATGAGAACCATTGTGCGATAACTGCACATCACGACCCAGAAATGGTGTGTGAGAACGTAGATGTATATAGGAACTACAAAAAACATTGTCCACAGACCGATGAAACAGACCCATGCAGATCACGACAAGGACCATTGTCGTATTCGGGCAATGGACATCTCTTTTCACAGGGCAAACAAGCTGGGGATATTGGTAGATTAAATAAGCTGATTCGCACTACCAAAGATCAGTTCGTTTCGTTTCTTTTGTACGACAGTATAGAGATCTCACCTCGTTATCTTGTGGCGTCAGCTTTCTGTTTCTGGACTTGTCACGTGACTTTCCACCCGTCTTACCATCCCCGGATCCTGGAGCTGTCAATCAACAACGTCGCCTTGACGTCAGTACCATTACAACAATGTCGCCATGACGTCAGTATCATAACAACAACGTCGTCACGATGTCGATATCATTACAACAACGTCGTCATGATGTCGGTATCGTTACAACAGCGTCGTCATGATGTCGGTATCGTTACAACAGCGTCGTCATGATGTCGGTATCGTTATAACAACGTCGTCATGATGTCGGTATCGTTAGAACAGTGTCATCATGACGCCGGTATCGTTACACCAACGTCTTCATGACACCAGTACGCAAACGTCGCCATGACGTCAGTACCATTACACCAACGTCGCCATCACGTCAGTATTATTACAACGCCATCATCACGTCAGTATTATTACAATGTCGTCATGACATCAGTATCATTACAACAACGTCGTCATGACATCAATATCATAACAACGTCGTCTTGACGTCAGTACTATTACAACAACGTCGTCATGACGTCAGTATTATTACAACGTCGTCATGACGTCAGTACCATTGTAGCAACGTCGTGATGACATCAGTATCATTACAACGTCATCATTACGTCAGTAGTATTACAACTTCGTTATGACGTCAGTATCATTACAACAACGTCGTTATGACGTCATTATCATTACTACAATGTCGTCATGACGTCCATATCATTACAACAACGTCCCTCATGAGGTCAGTATCATTACAACAACGTCGTCATGACGTCAGTACCATAACAACAGCGTCGTCATGACGTCAGTATCATTGCAACAATGTTGTCACGGGGTCAGTACCATTACAACAGCGTTACCATGACGTCAGTATCATAACAACAACGTCGTCATGATGTCAGTATCATTACAGTGTTTCCTTGGAAACCAAACACTATTGTTACCAACGAAAACATAATGTTCAGTGCGCATTTGCATTATACATATGATAATAATATATAATAATCACCTGTTGCCAGATTCTGTGACTGCAATGTGCCGTTATACACATGTAATCATGGTTCAGTTAAACACTCCACAAAAAATGTTGCATTGTTTCTGAAGCTGATATACACTATCATGATATACACATACTTCTCAGATACAGCACAATACGCAGACAGAATGTAATCTAAATGTCAAATGTTTGCTATTCAAAATCTTAAAGCTTGAACATGTGCACCCGTGCAAATAATATTAATATAAAGCGAGAAATATATAAAATAGCAATCTATTTTGACCAGCACCCTTGCTGTCCTGTTCACTTTTATCATAAGAGCTTTTGAGAGGTGGAGCTGAAACCAGTGAGTAAAGTTACCGCAGCTTTGAAGTAGCTGAAACTGCTACTGAGGGATATTCGAGGTAACAGGTGCTTGCGGACAATGTCTGTCTCGACTGTCTCTGACATAGCTAGACAGTGCTATTAACAGTCATAACCATGTCTAAGGTTAACATGACGCCATCAACATGCCTTCAATAACGAGGCCTCAGAAATGTCTAAAAAGCCGTGCAAAGTGTGTTGAAAATAAAACAAAATAACAAAAAGAATTTGATTAAAAAATCTACAACTATGAATAGAATAAGAAAAATTAAGTGTAAATACAACTGACGATGGATACTATGGAGACGCAAAGGGTGACATTTCGATTTATGATAATCATTCTGCCACTCTGGCGTGTTCTAAATATATGAAGTTTTCTGACTTTCAGCTACAGTGCAGATAAATATGATAAAGGTGACATAGCAGAAGAAGCACGTGTGTATACAACCATAAAAATGCACTACCTTAAAATCACCTACACAGTAGGTTCTGAGCTCACCTATCATCCTTCACACAATCCGCATGTCAACTGTTGGGATGGTGTAACTGTTTCAGGACTTTACGGTAACCTATTGGCATCAGCATCGACATACAGCGCCACAGTCGTGTGGCATACCAAATGTACTATTGTAAGTGTAGTAATGCCTGGACATTGCATTGCAAAAGCAAGAGTACTTCCTCAAGGTAAGCCTGATAGGGTAAGAGGGGGGTTAACAGGGGTCAACAATATTAACACGGTGTCTATAGAGGAAATTCATAACAAACTGTGGTCCCGAGAAAAGGTGTTTTCGTAATAAAATGAAAGTTCTTCTGCAAAACGTTTTGAAGGAAACCAAGTTCTATGTATAGTCAACTTTATTGCAATAAATGCGACTTGCTTGATAACGGTGATGTATATCGAAACGTCGCATTCATTGAATCTTTGAACGGCATTTAGAAGGGCTGATACACACAAAGGCATGACTTCTATGGAAGCCAGCTTCTTTATGTGTGATGGACACGGCGTTTCAGGGTATATTCTTATTCCTTGATCAGGTCGCATTCATTGCAATATAGAAGTCGACTATCCATAGGACTTGGTTTTCCTTCATGTTTACAACCTCTAAAAAGCCTCTCAGAGAAAACAGTTTCTGTAAAGTCATGAAAGAATTGCAAGGCAGACAAGGAGGGCCATCCACAAATATGACAAGCATTAGAGGGGGTCACTATTTACCATTAAGGTTACTGCATCTAACGCCTCCTTACAGTAGTATGCACATGCAGATCAGATCACTTTATTCAGATCAGATCACTTTATTCAGATCAGATCACTTTATTCAGATCAGATCAGATTACTTTATTCAGATCAGATCACTTATTCAGATCAGATCAGATTACTTTATTCAGATAAGATCACAGATCACTTTATTCAGATCAGATCAGATTACTTAATTCAGATCAGATCACTTTATTCAGATCTGATTAGATTACTTTATTCAGATCAGATCACTTTATTCAGATCAGATCACTTTATTTGAGAATATTGATATTTTGTATCTTCATAAGGGCTCGAAATCTGACAATTGAAGGTGGGCTGGAGAAATAGGCTGGAATACATGGGATCTGCATCTGTTATTAAATGGACATATGAGCAACATGTGGTATTCATCTTCAAGCAAAGTAAATTACATTTGTAACAAACTAATTCCTTATATGGAACCATTTTCTTTGAAAAACGTTGTTTTTGTATATTTCGGCTATCTGATTGACATCGAAATTTGGTTACCATTTGTATTAGATCTTTGTTTAATGCGCCACAGGAAATACACAGAAGTTCAAGAAGTGACTTAAGTGTACTGTAATTTACAAGAAATGATGAGTCACTTATTTTAATATTCCAGTGATGTATATTAATGTCTAATATGAAGTGATTTACAGCGCCACAATCTTGGGCTAACCAGACATAGGACTGACTGACTGAGTTTGGTTTTACGCCGCTTTTAGCAATATTCCAGCAATATCACGGCGGGGGACACCAGAAATGGGCTTAACACATTGTGCCCATGTGGGGAATCGAACCCGGGTCTTCGGCGTGACGAGCCAACGCTTCAACCACTAGGCTACCCCACCGCCCCTCTAGACATAGGAAAATACTGTGGTATATAAAAGCATTCGAAAATATGAAACCCAATGTGTTGCCCCGTTGTCATCATAGACTTCATATCACAGCAGGCCCATTGAAAGGGATTGATAAATGAGGACGAGGACGAGGACGAGGACGAGGACGAGGACGATGATGTCATGACGTCAGCCAGTGTCTGTGACACAGCTGATGATGTCAATCATACACGTTTAACTGTTTTACTACCAAGCCAGTGAATATAAAGAAATATATCATACAGACTTACGTTTCATCAGTCCTTTAATCAACGACTTAAACAATCCTAAATATAAACAGCATGAAGATAATTAGAAGTGGCTATCGTTAAAAGACATCCTATATCTACCGGCGCTACCAGTAAAAGTGTTCTCATTCCAGGTAATATCCCCACACAGGTGAGTATTTAAGTACAAACACAGTCATTAATATCATTCATATGGTTTAGTTACTAAGTTGGCTATTGGGGTTTTGTGCAGCATGTGTAACTCAACAAAACATATCAAACGTCACAAAACGAGTTTCTGGTAAAATCTTAATAAAGATTTACAATAGCTGACCTTGACCTATAGGCTAGTTCTGCAGAATGACCTGTCCATTGACTTTACAAAAGCTACACCACACATATGAGGAGAGAGGAGAAGTAGGTGACCAGCTGGAACACGTGTACCTTTCTTTTGTGGAGGTTCTTTCTCCTTCTCTTTCTCCTTCTCTTTCTCTTTTCCTTCCGCGAGGGGACTCTTTTCTCTTCCTCCTTGACCTTTGGTTCCTGAATACAAAATGTGTAAGCACTGTAGCTATAGCAACATGCTAATCAGGTTTGAGCTGGCTGTCACAGAACGTTACCTATGTAACAGCCTATACTGCCTCACGAAGTATCTTAATACACAGGGTCGCCTCCGTGGTGCAGTGGTTAGAGCGTCCGCCCGGAGAGCGGAAGGTCGCGGGTTCGATCCCCGACCGCGTCAAACCAAAAGACGTTAAAATATCGTACTTGTTGGTCCCAGCTTGGCGCTCGGCATTAATGGGTACAACAAGGACTGGTCGTCTCGGAGTCAGTATACTGTGTCTGAGTGGGGTATTCATGCTTCACTGCGGCATGGTATCTCAGTGGGCTAGCACTATAAAACCAGCTTCAGTCTGGGCTAGTACAAGCAGCCGCACATACACATACACACGCATGCACGTCGTAATATAAGCGAAATATTCTCCAGCACGACGTAAAACCCAATTTCACCTCACCTCCTAATACACGGGGTCGCTAATTGAATTGATTCACTGAGCTTCACAGCACCTTGGTGATATGCATCACTGGTGAGTCAGGTACAGACTCGATTATTTACAAGCCGCCATCAAACAGGTACGATGTTGGTCGGCGTTAACAATATGTACTCACACAACGTGTTTCAGTCTGTGTGTGGTAATGTTTCATTGGGCAGAAGTGTTTGGGATACACTTGGATAAGGAATATCAGGTTGATTCGAGCAAGTGGATAATCATTACCCACAACATAAAAAAATACACCACCTGTGGTTTTTAGTGCCGCAACTATAGTGAGAATATGGATGATATACTTTGATGCAACCGTAGATTTTATATGATCGAGAAACAGCAGCAGCAGACCATGGCCCAGCAGTGAGTGAGTGAGTGAGTGAGAGAATGGGTGAGTGAGTGAGTGAGTGGAAGACTGAGTGAGTGAGTGAACAACGTGTCATCTTTACACTCATCCAGTAGTTGTATGTTTAACAGATAGAAAATATGCCAAAATTGTCAACTCTTCTGATAACGTACCTTGGACTTTTTAGATGGAGTTTTATCTCGCTTGGATTTATCTTTGTCCGATTGAGAGTTATCTCGCTTGGATTTGTCCTTGTCCGACTGGGAGTTATCCCGCTTGGATTTGTCCTTCTCTGACACTGAGTTATCTCTCTTGGATTTGTCTCTTTCCGACTGGGAGTTGCTACGGGAAGTTCCGGATCTGTCGCCACGGCGACTACTGGTTGCCTAGCGACATGACAAAACAGATACAGAACACAGGTAGTGATACGACGAATAACTGCAGTACACGCAAACAAAATTCTCTAAGGCCGTGTTCTTATTTATTATTTGTATTAAAAGACAAAACTTAAAAAATCAGAAACTCACAAAACACTCTCCTATTAGAAGATATATCTTACGAAAAAGGTAAAGTTTTGTTTCGTTATTCATAGATGTTTATTGGCTAGAGGCGAACCACTTGCTTTCCCGGTGTCTCATTTTCTAAAACTATTTCTACATTTTTGGGGGTCGTAAAAAATATCAATGCTCGGCCACGTGTTTCTTTGTTTACTCCTTTATCTGATTAAAGTATATTCAGTGTTCGCTAGATTTCAGTAAACCAAACTTCAGTGTTCTCTTTCGTCAACCATTTCGTATGTGGAATTCAGGAGACAATCAAATCTGTCACGGAACAGCCCGGATATTCTTGGAATACAAATACCGTATTTCCTCTATTAAGCGTCGGGCCTCAAATAACCGCCGGGGATAAAGCAGTGCTTTAAGAAATAAGCGCCGGGCCTCTAATAAGCGCCGGGTATAGACCTTTGCATTTTTTCGCAAATGTATTCTCCCTTGGTCTAAAAATAAATATATTAAGGAATGGTCCCTTAAATCATAACAGACAGATGGACAGAATGAAGGCTTTGTACTCATCCCCGCTTTTAAAAATACAGGGTATTTTAATAAGCGCCGGGTCTCTAATAAGCGCCGGGTCTGGAGGTCCGTTGAAAAAATAAGTGCCGAGGGCGCTTATTAGAGGAAATACGGTACTAGCGACAAAACCCTTTCCTCAGTCAGGGCAGCATTTTTATTTTTTGTGTTTCCCGACCGACCCTTCTAATTTTATTGCCGACACTCCACCCACCCAAAAAAACACTTTTGTTTTTTATTCCAAACACATAGAATAATGATGCCCTCATAAAAAAATCTCTGCTTCAATTGTAGCGGCCATCATGGACATGACGTGTGGAGATACCAGGTGTGTGAGAGAAGGTGTGTACAGTGAAGGTGTGTACAGTGAAGTTTGTTTGCTAGAAGTATTGTATGTTTCTTCCTCACCGCTTTGCTCTTCTCTGCAGCCTCCTTCTCCGAGATGAGCCGGCGTCGCTCCACCAACTCCTCGTGAGTCAGGGGAAACCGCGACAACGCCTGCAACAGTCGGGGAGTCTTGTGAGTGAGTGAGTGAGTTTGATTTTACGCCGCTTTTATCAATATTCCAGCACTATTACGGCGGGGGAGACCAGAAATGGGCTTCACACATTGTACCCAAGTGGGGAATCGAACCCGGGGTCTTCAGTGTGACGAGCGGACACCTCACTGCTTTCGATATCCGCAACAGTAGTATGTACGGAGACGGGGTTAGAATTGCTACAGTGACCCATGCTTGTCAGAGGAGGCAGCTACGAGGTCGGGCTCGCTGAGGTGGTTGACGCAGGTCATCGTTTCCTAACTGCGAAGATCGATGCGCATGAAGTTGATACCGGATCGTCTGGTCCAGACTCAGTTATCTGACCCATGGAGGTGCCGGTTAGAATATTGATCTTCCGTAACCCGTGCTTGTCGTAAGAAGCGACTAACGGGATCAGGTGGTCAGGGTCGCTGGCTTGGTTGACACATGTCATCAGTTCCCAATTGCGCCAATCGATGCTCATGCTGTTGATCACTGGATTGTCTGGTCCGGACTCGATTATTTACAGACCGCCGCCATATAGCTGGAATATTGCTGAGGTGGCGTGAAAGAACAAAGCTTGTCATCTGTTTTTAAAGGACTCATTATTTTGGAATAAAAATACCAAATTAATGTCATCACCAGATGTGTCAATATCTAACCTCTGCAATCTTCTTGACGCCCATGTCCCCGATCTGGTTGTTGGCCAGGGACAGTGACATCAACCTCCTGTTCATCCTGAGGCCCTGGGAAACAGACAGATTTTTTCATACACCTCACGAAAAGATGGAGTTTAGAATCCAGCTAAACTACCTAAACGAAGTAATTTAGCCATACAGTAGTCATCAAGAACATAAGAGCTACGTCATATATTTGTGTGAAAGTACCGGGGCATTACGTCATAGAGCTATCGGAAAACATACGAATTGTCATACAACCCGAATAATTAGTATAAAACTTACGTTATGTCATCAGGGACAAAAGAATATCATCAAGAGCTCTCATGAAGAAGAAAAGAATGACACAGTCATCCTGAACACAGTAATTCTGTGGTATATATCTTGCTTATGAACAAAGGAGTTACGTCGTACAGCTTTAATTACTAATATAGTTATTATGCCATCCAGCTTTCACTACTAACATAGTTATGACATCATGCATTTTGCACCAAAACTTTAGGAGTTGCGTGAAATATTCTAATTTAGAAGACAGGATTTATGCCATACAACTACCACCGACAATATAAGTTGCGGTATGCATTTTACATCTAGGACCTACGACTGACGTCATAATCGTCTGTCGTAAAGAACAATGAGTAATACGTCATCCAGCACCTCAGAGCTTCCACAGTCAAGTTTTGTCATTTAATTTATTCATAGAGGGGCCGGCTTTCCTCAACTACGGTATATCAGTTCAAATGACGTAGTGACATCACGCTAAACGTCATAATCTTGATGATTTGAATAAGTCCAATTATGATACTGTTTTGGTTAATGGATAAATTAATTGACAAATTGTCCTGAAAAACAGCGTTACCCCAATGAAAATACATTCAAAGGGGTGAATCGGTTGCGACCGTATATGCTTATACGGTCGGAAATTTATAGCTTGACCAATCATCGTGTTATACCACAATTAGAATGAATTATTCTCGTGGGTTGGTATATACAAAACAGTACGCTGAACGGAAGTTTGGATAGGTCCATTTGCTTTGGTTAATGGTAACAAATTGAAGCTATGAAAATTATGGGGTGTTGCGCTACTTTTTACTTGTGTATACTACAATACATGTTTCTCCTGCAGTGTCTGGAATCAAGATGTCATTCAGTAATATGTCTCGTTCCAAAAAGCTCGTTGGTGCATATGCTAAGATGTATGACCAAGAATTATCAAAATTCAGATGTTTGCAGGTGACTGACGTCATTACCCGTGCTAGATGCTCTGCGCCGACATCTGTGATCCTGTTCCCGGTGAGGATGAGAGACAAGAGCTTGGTGTTGAACCTCTTGGCTGTACCCAGGGCCCTGCTGATCCCCTCCACCCCCGCGTCTGTGATGGAACAGTGCTGGAGGGACAACGTCTGGACGCTGTGGGGAGAGGACATTACCAGTCTCATCATCGTCGAGTCAGGTACGTGACATCATCAGGAACATTTTAATTATATAATTGACAATGGGTGTGTGTGTTGGTGTGTGAGGCCTCACTCATCTTGTTTACAGCTATATGGCGGCGGTCTGTAAGCACTCGACTCTGGACCAATCAATCCAGTGATCGACAGCAGCAGTATCGGTCTATGCAATTGGGACACGATGTCACATGACCAGCGGACTTGACCACTAAATCCCGTTAGTCGCCTCTTACAAGAAGCATGGGTAACATTTACGGTTGTACAAAGCGTATTGAATGAATCAAGCATTAAATATTCCATTTAGTGAAAAATTAGGTCTAATTTTAGAACTGAAGACCAATTCTAGCCCGGTTTAATTGATAACGACAATAATGATAACGACAACTACAGACACTTCTGATGATAGTCAACTTAAAAACACACATTCATCCCGAAAGTAGTTTTATCAAAATACATTAAATTCTTTGCTAACTAGTGTTAATCGGTTTGTGTTTAAAAGACAGAGATTCCATTTATCATCCAATATAATTTGTCTAACCTCTGGTAGTTTGTACAATGTAATAACCACTGTGTTCAACGTAAACAATAGCGCTAATCAGCTTCAGGGTAGATATACTTGATGTCATTTAATTGTTACTTTACAATGATTAGCATTTTCAAGTAACTTATAGTACAGTAACACCGTGTGATACAAGTAGTACCACCCACCTGATGTTGTCAAGTAACTTATAGTACAGTAACACCGTGTGATACAAGTAGTACCACCCACCTGATGTTGTCCAAATAACTTATAGTACAGTAACACCGTGTGATACAAGTAGTACCACCCACCTGATGTTGTCAAGTAACTTATAGTACAGTAACACCGTGTGATACAAGTAGTACCACCCACCTGATGTTGTCAAGTAACTTATAGTACAGTAACACCGTGTGATACAAGTAGTACCACCCACCTGATGTTGTCAAGTAACTTATAGTACAGTAACACCGTGTGATACAAGTAGTACCACCCACCTGATGTTGTCAAGTAACTTATAGTACAGTAACACCGTGTGATACAAGTAGTACCACCCACCTGATGTTGTCAAGTAACTTATAGTACAGTAACACCGTGTGATACAAGTAGTACCACCCACCTGATGTTGTCAAGTAACTTATAGTACAGTAACACCGTGTGATACCTGAAGTAGTACCACCCACCTGATGTTGTCAAGTAACTTATAGTACAGTAACACCGTGTGATACAAGTAGTACCACCCACCTGATGTTGTCAAGTAACTTATAGTACAGTAACACCGTGTGATACAAGTAGTACCACCCACCTGATGTTGTCAAGTAACTTATAGTACAGTAACACCGTGTGATACAAGTAGTACCACCCACCTGATGTTGTCAAGTAACTTATAGTACAGTAACACCGTGTGATACAAGTAGTACCACCCACCTGATGTTGTCAAGTAACTTATAGTACAGTAACACCGTGTGATACAAGTAGTACCACCCACCTGATGTTGTCAAGTAACTTATAGTACAGTAACACCGTGTGATACAAGTAGTACCACCCACCTGATGTTGTCAAGTAACTTATAGTACAGTAACACCGTGTGATACAAGTAGTACCACCCACCTGATGTTGTCAAGTAACTTATAGTACAGTAACACCGTGTGATACAAGTAGTACCACCCACCTGATGTTGTCAAGTAACTTATAGTACAGTAACACCGTGTGATACAAGTAGTACCACCCACCTGATGTTGTCAAGTAACTTATAGTACAGTAACACCGTGTGATACAAGTAGTACCACCCACCTGATGTTGTCAAGTAACTTATAGTACAGTAACACCGTGTGATACAAGTAGTACCACCCACCTGATGTTGTCAAGTAACTTATAGTACAGTAACACCGTGTGATACAAGTAGTACCACCCACCTGATGTTGTCAAGTAACTTATAGTACAGTAACACCGTGTGATACAAGTAGTACCACCCACCTGATGTTGTCAAGTAACTTATATTACAGTACAGTAACACCGTGTGATACAAGTAGTACCACCCACCTGATGTTGTCAAGTAACTTATAGTACAGTAACACCGTGTGATACAAGTAGTACCACCCACCTGATGTTGTCAAGTAACTTATAGTACAGTAACACCGTGTGATACAAGTAGTACCACCCACCTGATGTTGTCAAGTAACTTATAGTACAGTAACACCGTGTGATACAAGTAGTACCACCCACCTGATGTTGTCAAGTAACTTATAGTACAGTAACACCGTGTGATACAAGTAGTACCACCCACCTGATGTTGTCAAGTAACTTATAGTACAGTAACACCGTGTGATACAAGTAGTACCACCCACCTGATGTTGTCAAGTAACTTATAGTACAGTAACACCGTGTGATACAAGTAGTACCACCCACCTGATGTTGTCAAGTAACTTATAGTACAGTAACACCGTGTGATACAAGTAGTACCACCCACCTGATGTTGTCAAGTAACTTATAGTACAGTAACACCGTGTGATACAAGTAGTACCACCCACCTGATGTTGTCAAGTAACTTATAGTACAGTAACACCGTGTGATACAAGTAGTACCACCCACCTGATGTTGTCAAGTAACTTATAGTACAGTAACACCGTGTGATACAAGTAGTACCACCCACCTGATGTTGTCAAGTAACTTATAGTACAGTAACACCGTGTGATGATACAAGTAGTACCACCCACCTGATGTTGTCAAGTAACTTATAGTACAGTAACACCGTGTGATACAAGTAGTACCACCCACCTGATGTTGTCAAGTAACTTATAGTACAGTAACACCGTGTGATACAAGTAGTACCACCCACCTGATGTTGTCAAGTAACTTATAGTACAGTAACACCGTGTGATACAAGTAGTACCACCCACCTGATGTTGTCAAGTAACTTATAGTACAGTAACACCGTGTGATACAAGTAGTACCACCCACCTGATGTTGTCAAGTAACTTATAGTACAGTAACACCGTGTGATACAAGTAGTACCACCCACCTGATGTTGTCAAGTAACTTATAGTACAGTAACACCGTGTGATACAAGTAGTACCACCCACCTGATGTTGTCAAGTAACTTATAGTACAGTAACACCGTGTGATACAAGTAGTACCACCCACCTGATGTTGTCAAGTAACTTATAGTACAGTAACACCGTGTGATACAAGTAGTACCACCCACCTGATGTTGTCAAGTAACTTATAGTACAGTAACACCGTGTGATACAAGTAGTACCACCCACCTGATGTTGTCAAGTAACTTATAGTACAGTAACACCGTGTGATACAAGTAGTACCACCCACCTGATGTTGTCAAGTAACTTATAGTACAGTAACACCGTGTGATACAAGTAGTACCACCCACCTGATGTTGTCAAGTAAACTTATAGTACAGTAACACCGTGTGATACAAGTAGTACCACCCACCTGATGTTGTCAAGTAACTTATAGTACAGTAACACCGTGTGATACAAGTAGTACCACCCACCTGATGTTGTCAAGTAACTTATAGTACAGTAACACCGTGTGATACAAGTAGTACCACCCACCTGATGTTGTCAAGTAACTTATAGTACAGAGACACCGTGTGATACAAGTAGTACCACCCACCTGATGTTGTCAAGTAACTTATAGTACAGTAACACCGTGTGATACAAGTAGTACCACCCACCTGATGTTGTCAAGTAACTTATAGTACAGTAACACCGTGTGATACAAGTAGTACCACCCACCTGATGTTGTCAAGTAACTTATAGTACAGTAACACCGTGTGATACAAGTAGTACCACCCACCTGATGTTGTCAAGTAACTTATAGTACAGTAACACCGTGTGATACAAGTAGTACCACCCACCTGCTATCGTCCCCGATCAGCTGATACCAGTTCTCCTCCTCCACACTATTCCCGTCCAGGATCAGCTCCCTGAAACACAACGCCGTGAGTAAGTAATAGTCTGCTTATATGGCGGTCATATCCAGGCACATTGCCTGCTCACGGCGCTACGTACATTACTATCCCCGGTCATAGGACACTATCATACGTTCCGTTATTGTTTCAACTCCGTGGGGATCATACAGCCAGTGAACTAACCACTCACATTGCCAGCACATCCTCTCGGGTACCCATTTTATAGCTGGGTGTACAAGCTTCACTAGGACAGGGTCACATTGCAATATGTTAGTGGTGAAGAGAAAAAACAAAACAAACTTCAGTTTACCCCCGTCCTGTGCCGATTTCTTCTTTATTTTAAACTGGACTTCCATTTAACGTTTACGCGCTGACATCGTTTTCACAAGAGTCTAAGATTCGACCTATAAGTTGGCTGGTTGGTTGTTGGTATTTAACGCCGCGCTCAGCAATATTCCAGCTTTGTGGAGGTCTTTAATCAATCCGATTTTAAACGACGTTACAGATAGACAGATGGATGGATGGATAGAGGTTGTTGTGTTTGACTAAGAGCTTATCATTTTAGGTGCACTTCCGCAAATACCTGCAAGGATCTAACCCAATCAGTGAAACGTATGCTAACGTGACATCATGACTTACTTGAGGACTTCGCATTCCGACACTATGGACGCCAAGATGGCGACTGTCTTCCCCGTCAGTCCGACCTGCCACAGGCTGGGGAAGAAGAGTGTACAGGTGAGAAGTCGAGGAGGATAAGAGGGACAGTGACCGCACGTGTTATGGTAGTATGCTATGGTTAAGCAAGGTATGGTTAATACTGAAATATCGGGGATACACGCGTACACACGGAGGGATACACACACAATCAAGCACAGACACGCATGGGCGCAATGACATAGATTATGGATCCTCTTCTCAATAGATTCTCACTCATAAAGTGAGTGTGTAAGTGAACATCCATACATCCATACATCCATCCACCCATCCATCCATCCATCCATCCATCCATCCATCCACCCATCCATCCATCCATCCATCCATCGATCCACCCATACATCCATACATCCATACATCCATCCACCCATCCACCCATCCACCCATCCACACATCCATCCATACATCCATCCACCCATCCACACATCCATCCACCATACATCCACCCATCCATCCATCCATCCATCCACACATCCATCCATACATCCATACATCCACACATCCATCCATCCACCCATCCATCCATCCATCCATCCATCCATACATACATCCATACATACATCCATACATACATCCATACATACATTGCGCCCATGCGTGTCTGTGCTTGATTGTGTGTGTTTCCCTCCGTGTGTACGCGTGTATCCCCGATATTTTACATACATACATACATACAGCGCCGATATCATACTCATCTCAGCTGCTCAAAGGCGCTTTTGTTTTTCCCTCGTTCACTGGATGTCAACCTCAACGGCACATCGTATTGTCAATCTCAACTCCCTGGGGAGTATACAACTCTTGCAGCCACTAGGTGCACCGAGTTATTGTGACATTCCCATCCTTACGAGGTACCCATTCACAGCTGGGTGGACTGGGACACATAGTCACAGTACTTTGTCCAAGTTTACTGCACATTGCTGTACCCGCAACTGGGTGTTTGCACGTATTCATGTGGCCACCATCTGGTCATATACCAACGGATTCGTGGGTTCTTTTAAGTGCACAGGGTTGTGTACTGCACACTAGGGGTTGTGACAACACTGAAAGAGTCTGCACACAAAGTTGACTCCAAGGTTTTTACACCCGGTCACAGGTGGGTTCGATCCCGTCACCTCAAGCTCGAAGGATCACAAGCCTGGCGCTTTAGCCAGTTCGCCCCCGCTTTCGCCCACCGCGCCCCACAGGGCACCCGGTCACAGGTGGGCTCGATCCCGTCACCTCAAGCTCGCTGGATCACTAGCCTGGCGCTTTAGCCAGTTCGCCCACCGCGCCCGACAGGGCACCCGGTCACAGGTGGGCTCGATCCCGTCACCTCAAGCTCGCTGGATCACTAGCCTGGCGCTTTAGCCAGTTCGCCCACCGCGCCCGACAGGGTACCCGGTCACAGGTGGGCTCGATCCCGTCACCTCAAGCTCGCTGGATCACTAGCCTGGCGCTTTAGCCAGTTCGCCCACCGCGCCCCCATCTACGGGAATAGAGATATTTGAAGAGTGGACCTGACTCACTTGATTGTATGTAGCCTCTCCATGGCCGGCCAGCACTGTTTGAATATGTTCATCATACATTCGTCAACCTTCCAACCTGGAACCATAGAGCGCAGTCAGTTATCTCCCTTTGATTGAGGGGATAAGCATATTTACAGAATATGTAACCACACGCAATGCTTGCTTTACAAAGACTCAGCTTAACATTAATTTGCATGTCATATTTGTTTATAATGTAGTGTGTTGTACACAAATGGTTTTCAGTGACTTTGTCCGGATATGCAAACAACAGAAGTATATTTGAGGGACAGTGTTCACATATACCCACCATGGATGTATATTTCAGTGACAGTGTTCACATATACCCACCACAGATGTATATTTCAGTGACAGTGTTGACATATACCCACCACAGATGTTATTTCCACATATACCCACCATGGATGTATATTTCAGTATATTTCAGTGACAGTGTCCACATATACCCAGTGGTCCACCACAGATGTATATTTCCAGTATATATACCACTCACCACGAGATGTATATTTCAGTGACAGTGTCACTATACTCACCATATACCCACCACGGATGTATATTTCAGTGACAGTGTCCACATATACCCACCACAGATGTATATTTCAGTGACAGTGTTCACATATACCCACCACAGATGTATATTTCAGTGATAGTGTCCACATATACCCACCACGGATGTATATTTCAGTGAGTGTCCACATATACCACATGTTCATATGCCCACCACGGATGTATATTTCCAGTGACGGTGTCATCATGTACCCACCACGGATGTATATTTCAGTGACGGTGTCACATATACCCACCACCAGATGTATATTTCGGTGACCCGGTGTCCACATATACCCACCACGGATGTATTTCAGTGACAGTGTATATTTCAGTGACAGTGTTCATATACCCACCACAGATGTATATTTCAGTGATAGTGTCCACATATACCCACCACGGATGTATATTTCAGTGACATATACCCACCACGGATGTCCCACATATACCCACCACGGATGTATATTTCAGTGACAGTGTGTTCACATATACCCACCACGGATGTATATTTCAGTGACACCACATATACCCACCACCATGCATATTTCGGATGTATATTTCAGTGACAGTGTCCACATATACCCACCACAGATGTATATTTCAGTGACAGTGTCCACATATACCCACCACGAATGTATATTTCAGTGACAGTGTTCACATATACCCACCACGGATGTATATTTCAGTGACAGTGTCCACATATACCCACCACAGAATGTATATTTCAGTGACAGTGTCCACATATACCCACCACGAATGTATATTTCCATGGCAGTGTCCACATATACCCACCACGAATGTATATTTCAGTGACAGTGTCCACATATACTCACCACGAATGTATATTTCAGTGACAGTGTCCAGCTTGTCAGGGTTGTCCATCTCCACCTGTATCGATGGCTTGAAGTACTCAAACTTGTCCTTCACAGTGTACGTCTTGGGAGGAGGCTCCACTGGCTCTGGTATCAGGCAATCAGGATATATATTCAATATCTCTACATGTGTTGGTATTTGCATAATGGTCGATAACGCCATATGAACACATCTTCCCTCGATCATTCAAGAATGTTTTTTAAGCCCAGTAAGAGATTCAAGTTTGCAGGAGCCCTATTAAGATTATGTGAATTTAAACAAATTATTTTAGATTTTCAAAGACGCCATGTTTCTTATTGATTTGTTACACCATCTACAGTGTACCAACGAGGGAAGTTCTGGTGACCCGGTGAGTGAGTTGTGTTAGAAGCCAAGACTATCGGAACAATACTCTCAAACCCAGAGATAAAAATCGAACCGCATCAGGGATTCGAAACCACCACTGCTGGTTTCACGTACGGCTAGGGGAGGCAACTCTAGGTGGCGAATTGCGGCGCCTTCAGTCACTAAATCTCTACATTATCTGACACAATTCCGCTTACCGCCTTCCTCGTCTACCAGAGGCTCTGGCTGTACTTCCGGTGGTGGTTGAACTTTGTTGTTTTTCCCTCGGTCTGGTTTACCGTCGGGGTGTGGCCCGGGGACAGCGGACGCTTCGCCCGGGGGAGGATCTGGGGGACGTACACGACGTCCTCTCTCTGACACAGCTCCGCGAAGTCCGACTGGAAGAACCCGGAGCAACTGTAGGGACCTGCCAACGTGAAACATATTCTTTGCTAACATCGTTCGTAAGGGTCACCCGCTTCCTTGAAGATCTAGTCAGAATTTATCTCCAACAAGTAAAGATTCGGGTAAACAGCTAACAGAGGTAGAGCCCTCTGACTTGGTTGATACATGTCATTGAATCCAGTCCGGGTGGATCAATGCTCATGATGCCGATCACTGGATTGTCTGGTCCAGGAGCTGTTAGTTACAGACCAGCGTTATAAAGCTCGACTACAGTGTTAAACAGCAAGCAAACAAACAAACAAAACAACGAAAAACGCCTTTCATCGGCACGGGCTAGAGTAATTGACAATCCCGTTGTGTTTGATTCAAAGAATGAGTAGCCACAAGAACCAATGTTTCGCACATCGTGATTCGCACAGTATACTTATAGCAGATATGAAGACATCGGCCACACATCACCTACTGATCAGTTATACTCTACATTTAGTTGACTGCATGGTGACAAGAATCTGGAGTCGGTGCTCATGCTCATGTTTGTCGGATCCAGACTCAATCTCGATTATTTACCGACCGTCGCCATTTTGCTGGAATATTGCAGTATGTGGCGTTAACAAGCTAACAAAACAAATATACAGACTAGCGTTATACTACACACCCTCGCACATCGTACTCTCTCTCCCCTCTCTGTCCCTCTCTCTCTCTCTCTCTCTCCCCTCTCCTCTCTCTCTCTCTCTCTCTCTCTCTCTCTCTCTCTCTCTCTCTCTCTCTCTCTCTCTCTCTCTCTCTCTCTCTCTCTCTCTCTCTCTCTCCTCTCCTCTCTCTCTCTCTCTCTCTCTCTCTCTCTCTCTCTCTCTCCTCCTCTCTCTCTCTCTCTCTCTCTCTCCCTCTCTCTCTCTCTCTCTCTCTCTCTCTCTCCCTCTCCTCTCCCACTCCCACAACAATCACCTGTTTTGTCTGCATCCCCTTCCAGCGTGTCCTGTCCCGCCGAGGAGAAGCTCCTGTCCTTCTTCCTCCCCCTCATCCTGCTGGCACTTTAATACATTGTATTCTTGTTGGGAACCAAAAGTTACTGTGTTTAAAAAGCGGCGTAAAACCATATTCACTCAGTCCTAGCGTCAACTGCCGTGATGCCTCAGACCTTTGTGAAAATACCTGCTGAATTCACCATTTAGACACAAATATGTTACATTGTTGCTGGATGAAAAAGTTCATACACTACATAGAATACATCGGTACTCGTCACAGCGCAGGCTGTACGTAGTGAAACATGAAACCCTGAATGAAACATGAAACCCTGAATGGAACATGAAACCCTGAATGGAACATGAAACCCTGAATGGAACATGAAACCCTGAATGGGGCTAGGCAACAGCAGCGTTAACCCCGATACAAGAAGCGTTGCTGACGTTGCAGTAATATTCCATCAGTCCGGATCTCAGTATTGCGGAACCTCGTCTCCATGACCATAATGGTCATCGGTACAGATGCGCAGCAATATTGCGCTTCATGCATCACTCGTTCAGCGGACATCTATCAATCCGGACTATCTGTACAGTCTGGATTAACGAGAATGCTGTGAGCACGTGAATGAAATGTTTCGACGTCACTATCGGGTAACATCACCGCGAGTCGTGTAGGTGAGGAAGGAAAGTCCACCCGAGACATATATCACTGTGGCTTTGGTACACTCAAACCTAGAAAAAATAATCAGGGTAAATTAGGATTCGAAAGGGACCTGGGACCTGCACAACGAATAGCGGAACTTTCCTCTTATGTGTATATAAAAGGAATTCCACGAAACAGAATATACATCGTAGTGTTTGTAGTAAACAAAACAATGTACCTTGAGTACGGATTAACAAAATTATATCGGATAGGGACATACACCTTACTAAAATGGTCAGGTGATATAAATACAGAGCTCCACTGAGATTATATACTGAATACTTACTGTTGGATCACGTGAGATTACATACAGAATACCTACTGTAGGATCACGTGAGATTACATACAGAATACTTACAGTAGGATCACGCGAGATAACATACAGAATACCTACTGTAGGATCACGTGAGATTACATACAGAATACCTACTGTAGGATCACGCGAGATTATATACAGAACACCTACTGTAGGACCGCGTGAGATTATATACAGAACACCTACAGTAGGACCACGTGAGATTACATACAGAATACTTACAGTAGGATCACGCGAGATAACATACAGAATACCTACTGTAGGATCACGTGAGGTTGCATACAGAATACCTACTGTAGGATAACGTGAGGCTGCATACAGAATACCTACTGTAGGATCACGTGAGATTACATACAGAATACCTACTGTAGGATCACGCGAGATTACATACAGAATACCTACTGTAAGATCACGTGAGGTTGCATACAGAATACCTACTGTAGGATCACATTAGATGACACAAGGAATACCTACAGAAGGATCCACTGAGATTACATACAGAATACCTACTGTAGGATCACATGATATTACATACAGAATACCTACTGTAAGATCACATGATATTACATACAGAATACCTACTGTAAGATCACGTGAGATTGGATACAGAATCCCACTGTAGGATCACGTGAGATGACATACAGAATACCTACTGTAGGATCACGTGAGATTACATACAGAATTCCACTGTAGGATCACGTGAGATTACATACACAATACCTAATGTAGGATCACGTGAGGCTACATACAGAATACCTACAGTAGGTTCACGTGAGATTACATACAGAATACCTACTGTAGGTTCATGTGAGATTACATACAGGATACAGAATACCTCCACACATAATATCTACTGTAGAGGATTACATACAGTATACCTACACACAGAATATCTACTGTAGGGGATTACATACAGAATACCTACACACAGAATATCTACTGAAGGGGATTACAGAATACCTACTGACCAATTTAGGACGATAAGAGGATTACAGATGTATCGGTTCATTTTAAAATGCCTGTTGTTTTGGCTAGCGACATTACGGAATTATCACATTTTACAAGATCCGTTAGCTAGGTTGGACTAGCATAATGTGAGAGATATCCCTCGTTGGATGACTGAGACGACGTTAAAGGTTTACCTTGATAGCGAGCCTCTACTCCCATCTTCATCTCGGCCCCATCTCTTTCTGGTCTTTTTAGGAACCGGCGACGGACTTGACAGCCCCCCTTCCGACACGTTGTCAGGCACGTTAAGTCGTCCCTCCATGCCCACAGTGAAGCAACTACGCCGACTACCTGTTGCGTGTACCAGCAACACGGTGGTTCTAAAGAAGTATTGTTGGTGAGGGCCGACTAGTGTCTGTCGGAGGACTTAAAGGTGCACTGCCGATTCCAGCTGCATGAATATAACTGTGTGGGGTGTATAGACATGTTGGGTGCAGTTCAGGTACGAAGTGTTTTTCAGGACCTGTTGCACATCAATACCGAATAATATGTCGTTTATTACCGTATTTGTTCTACCTTCCGTGCCAGCGTGTTCTGATTTCCCTAAACGGTATGTGTCTGCCTCGCTTTGAGTGAATGAATGAGTGAGTTTAGTTTTACGCTGCACTCAGCCATTTTCCAGTTATATGGCGGCGGTCTGTAAATAATCCAGTCTGGACCAGACAATCCAGCGATCAACAGCATGAGCATCGATCTGCGCACTTGGAAAGCAATGACATGTTTCAACCAAGTCAGCGACCCTGACCACCCGATCCCGTTAGTCTCCTCTTACGACAAGCATGGGTTTCTGAAGATCAATATTCTAACTCGGACCTTCACGGGTCGCCTCGCTTTGAGCCTTCGTTGTGCACTACAGTAACATGCCGTGAAATAAATGTATTTATTACATTTTGTATTTACTCCTTTGTTATGCTGATGTACCACCGATGGTGGGTTATTTTGATTAATATACGAGTGGTGATGATGATGATGATGATGATGATGATGATGATGATGATGATGATGATGATGATGATGATGATGATGATGTTTCAGGAGGCGTTAATTCCAAATCACTCTTCTAATTATTACAATGGTCTCACACATGCCACTGTCAGTCAAAATCACAACACTTTTTAAATAATCCCAAAACACCAGGTGTGTTCCTTTGTACGTAAGTTTATATATACAAATCTATCTTCGTCGTATGTACAAACAACAGATACCGCTGATAACATCTCTATTTCAAACAACAGATACCGCTGATAACATCTCTATTACAAACAACAGATACCGCTGATAACATCTCTATTACAAACAACAGATACCGCTGATAACATCTCTATTACAAACAACAGATACCGCTGATAACATCTCTATTACAAACAACAGATACCGCTGATAACATCTCTGTTACAAAACAACAGATACCGCTGATAACATCTGTATTACAAACAACAGATACCGCTGATAACATCTCTATTACAAACAACAGATACCGCTGATAACATCTGCATTACAAACAACAGATACCGCTGATAACATCTGTATTACAAACAACAGATACCGCTGATAACATCTCTATTACAAACAACAGATACCGCTGATAACATCTCTATTTCATACAACAGATACCGCTGATAACATCTCTATTACAAACAACAGATACCGCTGATAACATCTCTATTACAAACAACAGATACCGCTGATAACATCTCTATTTCATATCTCTTCTGTATATCCGTCCCCCAATGTCGTTGTCATGTAACGGCTATTTAATCCAATTATTAATGAATATAGACTGCGTTGTTCAAGAAGAATGGAATTTTGTGTTAAATTTGGAAATTTCGACAATTGGAAGCATTATTCAGTATACGGCGACACTGGACAATATTTCCTCCGAGCTCTACGGGTTGGTTCGCCGAAGACCTTGGTTCGATTCCCTGCATGGGTACAGTGCGTGATGCCCATTTCTAGTGTCCCCCACCGGGATATTGCTGGAACATTGCTATAGGCCACGTGTAACTAATCTTACTCACTCGCTCACTCACTCCGATTTCCATATAAAATTGCCGAGACTGCGCCTTTAAGAGATCTTTTAAAGCAGCGGTGTTCCCAATAGTCGTTATTGTCGCGACCACTGACTGAATTGTCCGCTTTGTGAATAGTTTGTTACAGAACGAATCCACGCCCATACAACGAGGTGTTCTCAATGTACACTGTTTAGATCACGGCGTTCTCAATGTATAAATCACAGTATAAGGACAGGTAACAGGTAACGTGTGTGACGATACTGACAGCCTCAATGCTATCTACGTAGCTTTGAAAGTTTGTATAACAAAATGTCTAACTAATTGTATGAGTGTTTAGAAAGGACACAGCGGTGCGCTAATTCTTCACACTGACAGGCTGAATGTAGTCATTGAATATGTATGAGACTGACAATGACGGGAATACGACGAATAATGACCCACATAATCCAGTCACACTTCACACTCTCAGAAACTCAGAGTTGCCTGGAAACTGATTGTGTGTTTCCTTTGTTGTTTAACGCTGTAAATGTTGTTGCTTGTTGTTTAACGCCACACTCAGCAAAATTCCAGCTATATGGCGGCGAACTGTACAATTTCAAGACTTTAGTTTTACGCCGCTTTTAGCAATATTCCAGCAATATCACGGCGGGGGACACACGAAATGGGCTTCACACACTGTGCCCATGTGGGCAATCGAACCCGGATCTTCGGCGTGACGAGCGAACGCTTTATTGAATAGGCTACCCCACCGCCCACACATTCAAGTCTGGACCAGACAATCCAGTGATCAACAGCATTAGCATCGATCTACGTAACTGGGATCCGATGACATGTGTTGACCAAATCAGTGAGCCTGACCACCCTATCCCGTTAGTCTCCTTTCACGACAAGCATGGGTTGCTGAAGACAAATTCTAACCCGGATCTCCGCGGGTCTTTACGCTGCAAAATCCACGCGACAGCAAGTAATCGAGTCAAATCGAGACAATCCGGTGACTGACATTATGAGCAACGATTGACTCTGTTGTGTTACGATGACACACCTTCAAGTCACTGAGCCAATAATAAAGGATTTTATGCACGCATGTCTGTCCGATTGATTTTACGATAAGGTGGTCATAATCTTTCCGTATTTCACGGACGAGAATGACAGCCGTCTTAGAAAAGCACTATAGTCGAATGACGTCAACAGGGTTATATATTGCGACGTTTTTAGTATGACGTCAGTCCGACTTGATGTCACAGTCAGATACCATATAATAGACTATATGGTCAGTCCGACTTGATGTCACAGTCAGATTCTAATGACATTAACAATGGCTTCCGGATGACGTAAACAATAGACTGGTGCGCGTGAAGTGATATTTGAGCGGGTGCATATACGTTTTTCATGAACTCGCTTATTTCCAACCATATTAGGAATAAAGTCGCCTGGTTCGAACAACATATGTTGATATGGACTCCGATATAGAATACCAACGAACATAACAATAAAATGTAATGTTTGGATCTTGTTCTGACAGGAACGACTATAGCAGATAAATGTGAAGCTCGCGTCGTTTGTGTAGCAATAGACTGAATGTGTCAACTCAGTGCTTCCTAACGATTATGGTGTTATATGATATGAAGAAGAAGAAACAGGAGATCATCATCATCATCATCATCATCATGCTACAGACCCAAAGAACCTGAGTTACAGTGACTTTAACAGTCTGTTTTGAGTGCTTGACCTGGTACATGTCTAATCGGTGTATATGTGGAGGTGTTAAATCAAATATTGTGGCGCTGTACACATATTGGTAAGAGAGGGAGAGAAGTTACTCTGGCTTTGACTGATGCAACTATTGCAGTGCCCCCAACACCGGTTTTATCTGAGAGTATGCGGTTGTGCTTCTTACAGACCTCTGGTGAGACGGGTGTGGCCGGGTGCTGCAGGGTGTTGCAGGGTACTGCAGGGTGTGGCAGGGTGTTGCAAGGTGTTGCATGATGCCACACAGCGAGGCTCTATACATATTTACATATTACGATGATTTACCCTCAATGTGAACCAAACAACACGAAACGTGAGTAAAAGCCTTTAAAACAACCATACGTACCAGGAGTAAATAAATATACTCATAGAAACGAATAAGAAACACATGAATGTAGAAGTGTTCGTTTGTTTATTTCCAGAATTTCACCCACAGTGTAATACATACCATGTAAAGAAACATATGAATGTCATACTATGAATACTTGTTTGTACCAGTAACATCCCGGCTGTGAGACGGCGAGCTGTTGTGCAGCTACAAGCTAATGGAGGGCGTTCATAAACTAAAATATTCTTAATTTTGTTATAAAAATACAGCAAATTATTACTCCTGCGAAAGTCATATTCATTCCTTTGAGAGTTACATCCCGGAGAAACACACAAACATACCAGAATATATCCCGGAGAAACACACAAACGTACCAGCATACATCCCGGAGAAACACACAAACATACCAGCATACATCCCGGAGAAACACACAAACATACCAGAATACATCCCGGAGAAACACACAAACATACCAGCATACATCCTGAGAAACACACAAACATACCAGAATACATCCCGGAGAAACACACAAACATACCAGCATACATCCCGGAGAAACACACAAACATACCAGAATACATCCCGGAGAAACACACAAACATACCAGCATACATCCCGAGGAAAACACACAAACATACCAGAATACATCCCGGAGAAACACACAAACATACCAGAATACATCCCGGAGAAACACACAAACATACCAGAATACATCCCGGAGAAACACACAAACATACCAGCATACATCCCGGAGAAACACACAAACATACCAGAATACATCCCGGAAACACACAAACATACCAGCATACATCCGGAGAAACACACAAACATACCAGAATACATCCGGAGAAACACACAAACATACCAGAATACATCCGGAGAAACACACAAACATACCAGCATACATCCGGAGAAACACACAAACATACCAGAATACATCCCGGAGAAACACACAAACATACCAGCATACATCCTGGAGAACACACAAACATACCAGCATACATCCTGGAGAAACACACAAACATACCAGCATACATCGGAGAAACACACAAACATACCAGCATACATCCCGGAGAAACACACAAACATACCAGAATACATCCCGGAGAAACACACAAACATACCAGCATACATCCCGGAGAAACACACAAACATACCAGCATACATCCCGGA